AAGGTCTTCTTCCTCCCCGCAGCAGAGGACATCTTTAGGATGGTGGCCAGGATGCAGATGTAGGAGAAGATCACGACCGACACAGTGAGTGTCAAATTGAACCCCACACAGACAAACATTAACATGATGTTGATGTCAATGTTTGAACATGAGAGGGCAAGAATCGGGGGACCATCACAGAAAAAGTGATTGATGATGTTGGACTTACAGAAAGACAGGGAAAACATAAAACCTGTATGTAAAGAGGCGTTTACTGACCCTGTGAGATACAAACCAGTTACCAATTGGATGCAGACTGTTCGGGACATGATTATGGGGTAGCGAAGCGGCTTACAGACGGCTACATAACGGTCCACTGCCATAGCTGCCAGGGGGTAGCAGTCACTGACTACAAATGTTCCATAGATCAGAAATTGCAGAACACATTCTCCAAATGATATGGATTTGTCTTCTACTATGAAGTTTTGGAGCATCTTGGGAGTGATAGCAGATGTGTAGCAGATGTCAACGAAAGCCAGGTGTTGCAAGAAGAAGTACATGGGTGTTTGGAGTCTGGGGTCTGTGTTGATGAGCAGGATCATCCCAGTGTTACCCACCATGGACGTCATGTAGATCACAAAAAATACAATGAAGAGGGCAGACTGGTACTGCTGTTGGCCACTAAATCCCAAAAGATAGAACTCAGTCACCTTGGTGGCATTTCTTTGCATCATGGCTACCAAATGTCTGTACAGGATGGAGAGAAACATGAAGAAAATAAATGAAATCTTCAGGATTTCTTGAAGAGGGTAGGTTCTTATCACATCACTGTTTTTGACTTTCCTAATAGACATTTGCACAGGGTTTATAGTTTCCAACTGTTTTTCCCTATTTTCTTGAAACAAAGCCACTGCATATTCAGTAAATTTGATGAATGAATTCATTTCACATTGCAGAAAATTGCCTTTTAATGTATCATTCAGAGATCATAATTTAATGCATTTTTCCCACTGCAATAAATAATTATTCCACACTGTACTTGCATGACATTATTGAGATATGATTTTCTATGCTTTTAGCATCCTACCTTTTTCTTAGACTTTATCATTTATTTCTGGTTCATGTTCTTTAACTTAGAAATTTGTAGGAAGAAGCTCTGGGGAATGGTTTTAGTCTATACATGTTTGATGGTTTCCTATGGTTGTATTAAATTCCTTTTTGGCACTTCCAAATGAGTGATTCCCTTCTCCAAATTACCTGATTGTCCTTGAGCAGGCCTACAGTTTCAATAGATGTGTATATGACATATGCTTGCAATTTTCATGAAGTTGTGTTTTCTTTCAGTCATAGCATAGCTTCAGGAATAATCACATAGTACCAATTTGGTTTATATATAATGATGGCTTGTTTAAACCTTAAATGTCTTTACTTTTCTCCTGGTGTCAGTAACCCTGTCTCTGGTTAGATAGACGTAGAGCCAATATGCACTCATTAATGATTATTTATGTGGTAGAAGCCCTTATACTCTTTTTAGGGTCTTTATACTTAAACAACCTTTCAAATTGCCTCTCATCATTGCATAGTTAAATACAAAATATAAAGTCATGAAACGTCCAGAAGGTAATATATTAAAATTTTTTTAGGTCTTAGGATTTAGTGAGGAATTCTTAGTCACTACCCCAAAAGTGAATAACTCTGTGTATCTATCTATGTATCTATGTATCTATGTATCTATGTATCTATCTATCTATCTATCTATCTATCTATCTATCTATCATCTATCTAACCGTGTAAGTTCCAGAACAAAGACAGGCATTGAATGAGTCCCCCATGGCCACAGCCACACATGAGAGCCTTGCACTATTGATAGATCAATGAGTCAGTTGGTTGATCGATTACATTCACTTATTTGTTCCTTTACTTTCTTCCTCAGCCACTCTCTGTCCTCAATGCATTTCTGTCCCATCGCCAGTGGGGGGCTGAGTCCTGTTGGCCTTGGGGAAACACGCTGGGCTGTGTCTCTCACCTTCTGCTCTGCCGCCTCCTGCACTCCCTGTAGAGGCTGCCAATGGGGTTGTCTTTGCTTTAGCTACCCCACAGTGGTCTCCAGGTTCTCTTCTGCAGCTGCTGCAGGCTGGTTGCTCTCCTGGGCCTCTCTGTGCTTCCCCCATCAGGGAGTTTATAGCTGGAGCCAAAGGGATGCCTACCTATCCCACTGGGGCTTAGGTGGAATTGGGCAAGCTAAAGATCTCTTGAGATATTTGACAGAAGAAAAGTCAAGCTCTCCAGTGAGGACAATTACAAAAATTACTGCTGCTCTACAAGGGCAGTTATTTTTCATGTAACTTTTTGATTAATCAGTACTTGTTCAGAGTGAACACATTTTATATCTTTAAGTGCCTGTGTTTAGGTACAGTTAAATCTTGTTTGTCACTCTAATTGGCAAAAGAAGCATAAACTCACTAAAACGTTTGCACTGAAAGCTTTCTGTAAAAGGAAATCTAACCCAAATTTAAGGTCATATGGTCCCTGCTGGTGCAAATTCATACTATGGTATGGGTGCATTTTGTAATATTACATTGACCTTTGTATACTGAAAGAATTATGCCTTAATTCTCTCTTAATTTTCTAAAAATTTACACATTTTAGAGATCAAGTATACTCAATATTTATTCCAGTTATATTTGTAACCTTATATTATTTCAGGTAATCCTCTGTGAAATAAGTGATATTGAGTTTTATTTGGCTATAAATGTAGCATTAAGGCTTTAGTTGAATTACTATTTATACAGAATGCTTGGTTTCTGAGTCTAGTTTTTTGACTGATTAGCAGTCCAGTGACGGGAGTTATGGCCAAAGGCCAGAGAACTGAAATTCAGTCTTCCTCACTGCATGGCTAGTGTCTTGGTTAGAAATGCATTCAACTGCTAGTGAAAGAAAACTCAATTTACACTTGGCTTAAACACAAGGATTTTTTCCCCCTTCATAACAGTAGTGTAGAAGTCAAGACCAGTGCTGTGGTGATTGGTTTAGTCTTTTTTATGTGCTACTTGCCTCATAGTGCAACATGTCTGCTATGGCTCCTGGACATCACACTTCATTTCAAAGCAGGAACGAAAGGACCAGGAGGCTACGGAAGGAATCACATACATACTCTGGCAAGGGAAGCAAAAGTTTTCTCCAAACCCAATGGCCATCTTGTCCATAGTTGCCATGGGTCAGACCTGTGTACACGGATTCCCTGAAACCTCTGTCTTGCTCACATCCTGGTCCTTGTTTTTAGTGCCCATTGGGAGCACTTTTGTCTGTGCTGCTCACGGTCCTTGTCTTCTGCATCCCTCTCTTGTTCTCTGCCCAGTGAACACCGTAAAGCCAGGGAGGATCCCTCCTCAGAATCAGCAGAGATGTGTGAGGAAGTCAATAATTTTGGGGACCCTCTGACCCCCTGGGAGGGGGGTTCAATAAGAGTCTTAAACCCCTGTCATCCAGAGAAGCAGCTCTGAGGGACACTCTGCATAATTCACTAGAGTCTCCTGCGGAGAGGTGTTCCCGTTTCCCATGACAGAAGCAACCAGCTAGGCAGTTCTCTCCTCCCTGGGTATCCTCCCCATGTCGTCTCAGGTCTCTGTCTTTCCTGTGTGTGGCCTGGGACGACCACCCTGAGAAAGGTAGAAGTGCACAGCATGAGGAACAGTTCCCACGGAAGTGCTGCCATTTCTGTTGCCATTTGAATGTCAGGGGCCCCGAGAGCCCCCTTCTCATAGACTGGTTACTAATTTGGGGTTCTCCCTAACAGCCATCAGATGTGACTGTTTACTAACGTGTCTTATAGAACTCTGGTGTCCGGAATGGAAAGCTTAGTGACTCTGTCACCTCCATTCCTATGTGGAAGCCCCACCTCTCAAGGTGCTGGTATGAGAAGACCAGGAGTCTCTGGGAGAAGTGCAGGGTTAGGTGAGGTCATAAAGTGGGGCCTTCCTGAGCAGGACTGACGTTCATGATTGTCACAAGGTGGCTTGCTTTCCCTGTCTGCTGTCTGCACTGTGAAGGTGAAATAAGACCTTTCCAGTCTGCATCCCAGAAGTGAACGCTCACCAGAGCCTGATCCGCCAATCCGATATGCTCATCTCAGGCCTCCAACCCGCAGGACTAGGAGAAATAAAGCTTTATTGCATCATCATCACCCTGTAGCAATTTGATATAGCAGCAAAGTTCCCAAGACATTTGCACTGAAAGCAGCGAGCAGTTGTTGGGAGTTCTGAGGTCAGCTGGCCCCTCTCTAAGATGTCTCCCACCCATCGCTCTCTCCTGCAGGAAGTCTTAGTCCTCAACACTCGTGGCCAGCTAGTGCAGTCCTTTATGTCCTCTGTTCTGTTCTGCTGCTGTGTTTCTCCATGGAGGCTTTGGTGTTTTCAGCAGTCATAGTGTGTCCACAGGTTTGAACTTCTCCTCCCACACAGTGAGTCCCCACTCAGGGAGAAGGCGCCTCTGGCCACCTTCTTATTCTTTGTTGAAATTTCTATCTTCACTCTCCCTGTGGATTCTTGCTTCAGATCCTTCCTGGGTCCATAGGACCCGCTTCTCTCCTTCTTGTCTTCCTCTTGTTGCTATATGTGTCCTACAGTGTCTGAAAGCTATATGTGTCCTACAGTGTCTGAAAGGCTTTCTCTGCTACTTACCACTCTACCATCTTCCCAGAAGTCCCTGTGAAGGTAAAAGGCAATCAGTTCTCATGAATGGGTTTAGGGAACTCTCCAACCAGTTCTCAGTCATGTGAGGACACAGTGAGATTTTGAGTAGCTGTAACCAGGAGTTAAGCCCTCACCAGAACCACACCAGTGTCTTGACTCTGACCTTCCAGTCTGTACAGCTATGAGAAGAAAACCTCTGTTGTTTATAGACCACCAACTCAGTCCTAATTTCTAGAGGCCAAACTGAGGAAGACCTCAGGACATTACTGTACGGTGTATGACAGCCAGCCAGTTGGAGATATATATGGGCTGGAGTCTGGGAGTGGTGAAGGATGAAGCTTCTATGTTCTCTAGATAAGGGTTAATCTCTTGCATTCCACGAGGGCAAACATCAAGAGGATCACCAATTCAGCAACTCAAATGAGTCTTTGGTGTTTTCTCCTGGAGCTTGTTTACATTCTGGCATGTGCCTTATAATGGATACAATACACTCTTGGAGGATCAGATACTAGTTTCAGTCTCCAGTTGCCCTAGAAGTTTAAATTGGTGGAAAATATTCTTAACTCCCAAAATGTCACTTTGTTAGAATGTCCAGTGGCCAACAACTCCACCAACTCTTAAACCCCATGCTCACAGTGATGTACTCTATGTACACCAATTTAGAGACCACCTCCTGCTAGTGAGGGCAGTGGACAGTGTTTTCACTGGGTAAGACTAATTGTTCCCACACAGCCACAAATATGTGAATTTTATTCTGTACCACATGTTGAGAATCAACACCAAGACACATGCTGCCTTTGATACAACAGAATGTGGGATGTAAACTATTTCTGGCCACATTGGCTTGCTCATAAAGTCAAAGTTACTCAAGGAAGGAACAAGGCAAGGAACACTGTATAGTTAACCTGCTACATTTTGCAATAGCAGTGGATACACCTACAGAACGATATCTCAATTCTTTCCCTTTCTGAGTGTGTAGTTTGCTAGTATTTCCTGGGTACTCCTAATCCAAGCCACTTAGAACTCAACACCATGTTTTTTCT